TCCCTTACTTTTGTGCTACTTTTCAATGAAATGTCACCATACGCGCCAATTCTCTGATGGAATATTCTTTCCTCTCTGCCCGAGATGATGTCCGCACCATCCACTGGTGGGGGGGGCGGAGCAAGACTAGAGTGCGTTTGTGTCTCTAAGGAGGCAGCCGACCTCACACTTCTGGAATCCATTAGGGCTGGTGTGGGGGCTCATCTTGGAGTCAGTGGCCAGAGCTGGGCAGGTGGAGGAAAGGAGTAAAGACCTCCTCTAAACAGAATGACCGTAAGACGGAAATGTCTGCCTCACTTTTCTTCAACAATGGAAATGGATTATCTTTGAAGATGCTGTGGTGGTAGTTTCCAGGCATTTGTGGAATTTTTTTCATGACGATATTATTGCTGTATCTAGTCTCCCACTGGTGGGGCCTGTGTAGCAACTTCATTTCATGCTAGGGTTCCAGGTGCTAACCTGGGCCCTCGGTTGTCAGCTGCAGTTGCATTGAAGGCCAAGTGTTGAAGCCTGGGTCGTGATGGGTTTGGACAAGTCCCTGTGGCTGCTTCCCTGGACGTGAAGGGCATCCCCTGATGGTCTTAATGCCTTACCTGGGATTTCCCTCACGGCGGACCCTTGTAAAGGATTTGGTGCAAGTTCTTTGCGAGGTGACCCCAGAAAGCATGGTGAGAATTTGGAAGTAACCCCAGGGAAGGAGAAAAGCCAGTCAAGGGTGTGTTAATGAGCAGGTTGCATCAATAGGAAGTGGGGCCTGCTGGGGCCCCTTTGGAAAAGTGTGTAGAAGGAGCCTACAGGTTGACCGGTGAGGGCTGCAAGCTGCAGTATGTGTCCCTCGCTGCTCGGGCGTCACTCCTGAGGCACTGACTTTTCGTTTCCGGCTTGTGGCAGGGGAAAGCTGGAAGGATACAGGCAGCTCCGGACCTGAAAGAGCAGTGTCTGCCATAACCCCGCTGTGGAGCAGGGGGCGTGGGAGGGTGGCCACCCTCCGTCCGCGGGAGGATCGGGACACGAAGGCAGGCTTCCAGCCCGTGGTTGGGAGTCTGTGGGTCTCTACAGGCATTTGGGTGGCACAGGCGTGGGGTTGTGGGAAGTCCTCATGCATCGTGGGGAGTAAGCAATCTGCACAAAGAAGACTTAGCTCTGGAGTGGAAGTAACACCAGGGCTGGTGCACCTAAATTGTGTAGCCCTGGCTTTTGTCATTTAGGTAAGTTCGCATCCAACTGCCACAACTTTTTAGAGGCCCTCCTTCCTGTCGCAGCTGAAAATACAGCCCCTCATTGCTCAGACATGGGAGCCCCAGCCTAGGTTCATCCGCCCTTTTAAAGAAATATTTATAATTTGCCATAATTAGGTGTTCTTGCCTGGATGGAGCAGAGCTCTTTTAAGATAGCACCTGGAAAGACCGGCAAGAAAAAAAAATTTTTTAAGAAACTGTTAGCTGTGGATTTTAGGATCTTCTCTGTTTTGATCATGTCAATGTGAAGAATGCTTTCCTGTGAGTTAAAGTGCGGCTCATACCCAAGTCTGACTGTATATTCATGTCCGTGCATGTGTACACAACTTCAAGGTCAAACCATGGTTAGCTTCTACATGTATATCCATATGCTCAGAGATTAGCTTTTAAAAGACGGAGGATTAATCTAGTTACCCAACTAACATGAACTCTTGGACAAGCTTTTTGTTCAGCACTGACTGAACCTTTCTCGCATGCACACACACACTCATACCTACAACCCATTAGGTGAATCTGATGTCCAAATTCCTTTTGAGTTTAAAATACTTCATATTCCTGGCCAAGCTGCCATGTCCACGGCCATCGTGGGCATGGCGCCGTTCGGTAATTAGCTCCAGGTCACAAGGGAAGGGAATTCATATGCTGTGGGTGCAATAAGCCGGCTGGGCTTGTCCTGCCATTTTCCCAGGTTTACAGAAAGGTGGTGTCCTAAGGGGACTGAGGGTGTGTGCAGGGACAGCTCGAGAGAGACCATTGCTAGGACCTCTTCCCACCTGGGTTCAGTGACATCACAAATCAGCAGCTTAAATTTGGGGGTGGTGGGAGTACTTACTGACGCCATGGAAATGAGCACACACTACAGATCAGTACCACAGATCCTGCCCCGCTTGCCCCCGTTGTTAACCATTTACCAGGATCCTACTGGGGTGGGCCCTTGACTGTTCCACAAGCAGCAGCAGGCCCCTTCTGTGGATGCTGCCCTGATCCCAGGAATGCAACCATTGTTGCTACAGTCCTTGTCGAGGGCCTTGCACCTCAGGTGTGACCCAGCTGGTGCCTTGATGGGACGGTGTACGGCAGGCAGTATGGGATCCCCAGCCTGCACGGCATCCTAGGTGAGGCAGACCCCAGAGCAGACACACACGTCTTGTCGGCAATGTGAGCAGCTTGGCAGCTGGGTTTACAGGGTGGAACTTCCACTTGGAGACGGGTAGTGTTTGCCAAGCCTCATTTGTCCGTATGTCTTGTATCAGCCCTCTTACTTCCAAAGATACGTTAAATAGCCACCACACACGTGTATTAGGCAAACTGGGAACAGTGATAGTTCCAGGGGCCCTTTACATAGCCCATCTCAATGGGACAGGCTCCTAGTCCACTAAGCTGTGAGAGAGACTCCTCCAGGGCTGGAGGGCCAAAACTGGGTTGTGGAAGGTGAGCACCGAGGGATTCCCGCCATCAGCTCTTGGTTACCAGGGGTTGATTTAATTACCCTCTGGGTAAGTTGCCTTATTTTACCCATCAGTTTATGGCACAGGAAAATACCCTGGCCTTTGTCTTCTTGAAGAAAACAGGAAGAGAGAAAATCAACAGAGATCAGATTGCAAGTCCTGAGGCATAAGAATTCAGAGAAAACCGTCTTTGCAGAACTCCCTGTGCATCTGAGATGCTAAAGAGACCTGCATTTTATAACCAAGGCCTTGTCTTAAAGGGACTTAGGGTGCTCCTTCAAAATGGATGGGGGTTGAGTTCCTTATCCTAGCTGGATCCACATTTTAATTAGCTATGGCAATGAAACAAAGGAATAATAGTAAGGCCTAGATAATTTAACAACGAGAAACCTACCCCTAACCACGGCCTTCCACTCTCCAACTGTGATCCACATTTCAATAAGGGCTTAAATATGGAGTAACTCATGAGCATGGTAAGAGCTTAAAATTAGACAACAAAAGAAAGCAAGACACTAGCTAATTTACCATCAGAAATTGCTCTTGCTCATTATCAAATGAACCACTGCTGGTCTGTAGCATTACTTTGCACCCCCCACCTTTCTGCTATAGTTTAATTGGTTTCTCAAGATGCAGCAGTCAGGCTGTCACAACCTAAAAGTAAAATGGCAGCGGCAGTGGGGGTGGAAGGGGGGTGGGGGGGGCGGCGGGGATGGTAGAGGCAGGGAAGATGAGGAGCAAGACAGAAGTTTTTGGATCAACTACTTTTATTGCTTCCAGAAGGCTAGGACCGAAAACATCTGACTAATCAGGCTGGGTCTGTGAGTCAAAAGGTCAAGTTAAAATATTTGGCTCAAATAATGTTGAGCGAGTTCATTTTTCCTATGGGCTATGGGTCTTCAAGATGATGATGCAGATGGACACAGATCCCAGAGGCCACAGAGTGAGGGGTGCTGGGGGCTGGCTGACACCCCATTTCCTCGGGGGGGGGGGGTTGTGGAGACTGATCACTCCAGGCCCTGTACTAAATGACAGTCCCCTGTCACACCATCCTTTAATAGTAAGATCCAGAGAAGGGACACCATCTACTGGAAATGGTCTCTAAAGCGTGCAAGAATAGGACAGCCTTACCTAAAGGCTTTTAAGTGAAAACGACACTTTCTAAAGTACTTGGAAGGAACAGTATGCTGAACAAGACAACAAAATTCCATAAGCAAGGGCCTGGCGGCCAGTTAGAAAGACCTGGTTAGTAAATAGTGGGAGCAGATTTTGCTTTTGTTACTGTTCTAAGTCCCTGCCTACGTAAGCACCGATTTGCTAGGAAAACCCTTTGCCATCATCACCCTAACTTTACAAAGTTGCTAGAGGGAAAAAAAAGCTAGTTTTTAGCTGATCTCAAAAGCTTTGGCGTTTGTTTCCCAAAGTCACGCCCCAAAGGACATCTACAGCTCCTTTTCCGTGTGGAAAGGACATTTCCCGGTGGCTGCTGAAATGGGAAAGCTCTGAGCTAAGCTCTTGCCTCTTTCAGCCAGTCGTTCCTAATTAGAAGATTGCCACAGGTTGAAGATAGGCAGCTCTCTTCTAAGTCTTTAGTGAGCAGCTATTAAAATTTGTATTTACAGTTGCTTGCCCCCTAAATTAGGTCACGTTTAAAAAAACTGCAAAAAAAAAAATGCCACCAGTATAAATATTTCCACTGAAAACTAAAACCTGGTTATATACAGAAGGGAAAAGATTTTTTTTTTTTTCATGTTTGCTTGGAAACTCCTAAACCTGTCTACTTGGACAATGCATGTGCAGTATAAAGTATTTTAGGAAAGGAAAAATTTATTCCGATACTCCCTAGAATAAAAAACTTTCTAGAAGAGGCTGAGGCAACTTCGAGAAGCAAAACTCAAGAATGAAGAATACTGTAGTACAAAATTATGGCCAAAAATACTGTATTTTTAACCAGCAAGATCATTGGGGCATTATTATACAACATTAGGTGTTTTTTGCAAAACTAGTTCCCAACCCCAAACAATAGACAATACATGCATTTGAATGACATTTTAAGAACAGTAAATATGATTCTCTTAAATACTGCAAGTTAAAAATGTTTTCTGACAAAACTCCCTAAATACATAGGTCTAGTAAGGGTTTTCAACATGATGACAGGTGAGGAACCCAGCAAGAAGTTGTATTTAAGAGTTCTTTGAGGAAAAGAAATCTACCAAAAACACGTGTTTCAGTCCAAGTAACCTGAACGTTATATGGCAGTTTGCCATCTCTCTTCCTAAACTCGAAAATATTCTAGGAAGAATATTTTCCTCCCTGGTGTTTTTTCGATCTATCTACCAAAGCTTATACGAAAGTCAGAACTGCTTTATCCAAGTAAGATCCAATTTGGCCCAAATCCAATGTTTTCATAACATGTAAATGTCATTTACTATTGGGTTGGAATCATACAGGGGAATGGAAGATACATGATCAATAGGGAGGTAAGAAAGAAATTAATATCTGAGCACCTACTATGTGCTAGGTGTGTATGCATACTTTGAACAGATGATTCTAGAGGCAAGAGTATTATTGATGTGATGAGCACTGGGTGTTAACACGCAACTGATAAATCACCGAACACTACAGCTGAAACTAATGATGTACTATACGTTGGCTAACTGAATTTAAATAATAAAAAAAATATATCCCATGAAACATTTGGGATGTACATATATATATATGTCATTGGAAATTGGGAAGACAGCAATGAATGGGTGGTTACTCTGTGAGGAAAAACAAATGACAAGTTTAGACTCTGTACTAGGTTCCTACTAAACAGCAGGTGTCTGGTTCCGAAAATCTCTAACTAGTCCTACACAACTACGCCATTTCTTTTCCTAATTTGGTGGAACCAAAATGAAATCCCAAACACATAGTTACCAGGACAGACCTGTTAATGCTACATATGCTGGAAATATGTGGACAGAGATAAACATACACGATTACAAGTTTTACTTTTTGTGTGTGTTTCTAACCAAAGACAGAGCTTTGGAAGAAAAATAGTAATGTATACCAAGCACACCTTGGTTTGTATCAACTGAGATGCTGTCAATTACCAATTAAGTGGTTTTAAACCCTTATTTAATTTTAAGAAGAGCAGCAATATACATTACAATACTTGGGTACACTTTATTTTGATATGGGTTAACATTCTTCCATATTTCATTTCATTCGTGGTTTTTTTTTTTTTTTTGAGAAACTGAAAACAAAGGGAAATTGAAGGTAATTTTGAAGGTTATTTCCAACCAGTATCTGAGTCTTGCAGTATCTCGTTATACAGCCCTTTCTTCCCATTATTATTATTATTTTTTTTTGCAAATAAGTCATTTGACCCAAATCCAGCATAAATAGCTTGTTACCAATTCCTAACTTAAGACAACTAAAATTTACAATCATGTGGCAGTATAAATTTTAAAATTACAGTTCATACACCTTGACAGTCAAGATAGTCTAAAGTACAAAAAGTAAATTGTCCTTTAGCTGAATTACCTTTTTTTTTTAATAGTAGGCTTGCTAGTTAATCCACACACACACACACACACACATACAAAATACAAGTTTCAGGTGTTCTTCGAATACCTTTTGTAGGTGTCATATGCTAGTAAACAACATATGCAGGTTCCTAAGATTTTTTTCCCAGTCTATTTATGACATTCAACAGAGCTCTTTATATGAAAATGTTTTCTTTTAAAAACAAAACAAAAACAAAAACCCCAAAACTTCGAAGGGATTTGACTTTTGAATAGGTATGTTATTTCCCTTTGTTTCAGATGTGAGGCACAAACTTCTGAATTTAAGCTCTGTAAGGCATAGTACAGACCTCCAATTTACAAATGAGGCATTCTCTGTGGGCTTGGAACGGCCATGTCACGCAAAAGAGGGAAAATTATCTGTAAACTGGTCCACTGCACTGTGTGAAGTGAGTCATGAAATGGCTGCTTGCCTTGGTACGCTGAAGAAAGGTTTTCGTTTGTGTTTTTCTTTTTGGATAAGACATGCCCAAGTCACCAAAAACTCGCCCTGGGCTCCATTACTTGGAGCATCAACGGCCGGAATCCAGTGGCACACTCTTCTAACGCTTGCAATCACAATATAATAGAAAGCATGAGTAAACTCTGTTTTTATACAAAACCGAAAAGAACCCCTTCCCGCCCCTAGCCCCTTCAATAAAACCCCAAACAAAGAAACAGAAGAGAAAATCGTTTAGCTTCGATTGACTAGTGTGGATACAATTGGGTTTCCATGCGTCACTGCAGCTAGGGTGATCAATTTCTTCCTTTCTCAACAGAAAGGGATCTTGTCATGCACCCTACGGCAAACAGTGAAGCCACAAACTTCAATGCTGCATAGCAATTCCATCCCAATTTCATAAAGACAAAGAGAACAATCTTTCCCTGTTTGCTCAACTTCTTCGAGCTTTGAGATCATGTTTAATCAACTACATCTACTATAGCTCTATTAAATAGAATATCTTGAGTCCCTAAAACTGTAACACTTATGATCTTGTGATGAGGTTTTTCTCTATACACACTGTAGGCCTTCAAATGTTATTGTTGACTTTTTTCTTCTCTTTTTTCTTTTTTTTGGTTTTTTTTTTTTTACTTTTTCTTTTTTTTCTTTTTTTTTCTTTTTCTTTTTTTTTTTTTCCTGCACCAAATTTAAGATTGCCCTTTCAGGCAAGCAGTGGTCTCTAGCTGTTAAAACATTTCCTTAGTGGATCACAATAGCTTCTAAAACTGCCTTTCTAATAAAGGCCATCAGAGAGGTAATACTAAACGGTGCATTTGCCAAATAAGAATATGAATTGTATAAAAGCTCATATTCCAATCCTAGGTCAAATGGCAAAAGTTCTACAAAGTTGGTTTCCATGTTGGTATAAAAGCTCCAACTGATTTTATGTATTTTGCTATGAAATTACCTTTGGGTCTTATCAGTATACCTCTACTCAGGAATGTGCAAATGATTTTATACAGCACGATGCTAGTACCGCTCTGTACGATAGTAAGATTTTTTTTTTCTTTTCTAAATGGAAAAAAAAACTATCCCTAGTCAGAAATAAACTGACAAATTTACATTCTCCTCTCTTAAAAAAGTAAATAAAATAACATTATTCAAAATGTGAATTAGCTATAAGACATACAAATACATAGATACATATCAATACAGCACATTCAATCTGCCAAAACAGTAATGATGACAAAGCCGGATGCTGCAGTATGAACAGAGACGTACGTACAATGGTTAGAGCATTCCGAATTGCACTATTACCTACAGGCGGTCTGGTTCTTCAATTGCAGGTGCTTTCTGAGCAAAGTGAAAAAGTAACCTCTGCTGTTTGTGGCTGGGAAAGTAGAGAAGGAGAACATTCCATCACTACTTAGGAACTCTTGGACTCCTCTAGTAACCCATTCATTTTCTCTCTTCCCTTTTGTTCCCAAAGGGTGATTGAGAGGGAAATTTAGACTTGGGCCAATTAGTAGGATACTTAAAGTAAGACCAGTGGTGTGGCCTAATTCCTACTCCCCAGCAGGTTTAAAACAATCTTGTTTTATTTTCTTAAATCGTATTTCAACTCAAGCTCATCAATACATGTGCTGGGTTTTTTTTTTGTTGTTGTTGTTTTTGCATTTGTTGAAAAATTGCATTAAAGAACTCCAAATATCTCTCCTAGTAGGTTCAGTTACATAAATACATGTTCTACAGAACACTGACAGGTTACTCTTAAGTCTCCAAGTCTTCCTTAGGTTCAACTTAACCAGTGACCAGTTTAAAAAGATCCCAAAGGTGGTAAACCAGTAGGAACTTCAGATTTTGAAAATTAGAGGTGTCAGAATACTCAACCAATGTTCTTGGCAGACCTACTTGACCTTAGAGCCAGTTTTACTCTTTCTGTTCTTTAAGTGAAGAGATAGAAACAGATTTCATGTTCTATCACAAAGACACTTTGTTACATTGCCAATTTGGACACTCGACATGGAATGGACACTAAACAATGTGATCTCAGGGCAAAAAAAAGAATGGACCATGCCAATCAAATTTACAGTTACCGACTGTTTGGTGTTTCAGGGTCGTTCTCAGCCAATTACTTTAGGATTCACAGTCTTACTCTCTTCCAATTTAAGATACTGGCTTTTATCTTTTACAAAAAGCCAGCTTTGGCCACACACACACACACACACATCCATAATAAATTATGGCCCAAACACTAAGGGGAAAAAAGGAAAAACCTGAACCAAGAGGGGGAGAAACTAAAAACAACCTAAGAAGAAGGTTCTGGGTAGCAGCCACTGGGGTAATGTAGTGTCTGTTGGCATATATATATATTTTTGGCATCTGCAATTTGAAGAGAGGGTGAAAGAAAAAAAGGGTGGAAGGACCATGGCACATGGCATTTAAACAACTGTGTGTCTCTGTTCTTGCCTTACTGACTTGTGCATCTCTCTCAGCGACCAAGCTATGGCTGAAGGTAGAAATCCAAAAGAAATGACACTTAACTGTAAGATGGGCATCTGTCATCCTAGCCCAAAGTGAGGCAAGACAATATATTTATATAAAACAACTCTATATGTGTATCCAGAGGAATACAGTGAAAACCACAGTATTAATACTTAGAATCGTTCAGCAAAATGACAAATGTTGAAATTAAGCTGATGTTGATGGCTTAAATCAAATGATGCTGTCCTGGCTGTATCATTTGGGAGAAAAACTGGACCAAGAATGGAATGAGACTAAAGGCCATTGTAACCAAAAATCAGGAGGGGGGCGGGTATGGGTTAGGAAAAGGGCAATCAGCTTTGTTTTGCTCAATAGAAAAGAAAAAGAGAGAAAGAAACAACTCTTATCTTGGTGAGTGCATGACTGAGGATTGAAAATACATTGAGTCACAAGGTTTTGCCTTAAAAAAAAAAAAGAGAGGAAATGTGCTGGGACTGTACTTCAGCATCCTGTTTTTCCTCTGAATAGTTTAAATAAAATCATAATATTTACTACATACTCTGTGGACACGTTCACACAGAGTCCGGGATGGCAATAAATTAGTATTATGCAAATTGTTTTCCCCAGAAATACAGTCCCTCTTGTACAGCTTCAATAGCCCACCAGGGAAGGGAATGGCGGTGTCGAGGAGGCACAATTAGACCAGATTGTACTCCTTCAGGTTCAACTGGAGGATGGTGTCCTTGACGGCAGCAAAGACAAAGCGGATATTCTCGGTGTCTGTGGCGCATGTGAAGTGGGAGTAGATAATTTTGTCACTGTCTGGGTTCAGGTCCACGAACATCTTCAGGATGAATTCTCGAGCTGCCTGGGCATCTCTCTGGGGTCCTGTTGGCCAAGGGAGGAGAGGGACGATTTGTCAGCTGACGTGTTAATACCTTCGCTCAAAAGGCGCTTACTGATCACTAAAGATGGCCAGGGAGAGGACATCCGCACGGCAGATCTGATCTGTTCTCACCACCCTCCCCAACACTACTGTGTGTAACTGCTCCTTTTTGCCATGTTCTCTGACCATCCCTCCGTCCAACTTCTAGACTGCCGGGGTTGTGGAGCACGCCACGTTTATGCAGTCTCCAATGCACGATGTGTGGTGATGAGAAAGACTGGTTTAGATTTTCTAAGATTTATTCAGGGTCTCTTCCATGCCAAACACTGTCCTAGCTGCCTTAAAATAGGACTATGATATATTTACCAGGATATATTAAAAACTTAGTTGATAATTTTGCAATTAGGTCTTAAATAAGACACCAAAATTACAGGCAACGAAAGAAAAAAACAGATAAATTGGACCTCACCAAGATAAAAAACTTTTGTACATCAAGACAGTGAAGAGACCAGTTACAGAATGGGTGAAGATACTGGCCAATCACGTATCTGATAAGAGGTTTATATTCAGAAACTACAACTCCGCAACAAAAAGGCAATCGGATTAAAAAAAAAGGACAAGGGACCTGAATAGACAGGTCTCCGAAGATCTAGAGCTGGCCAATAATCACATGCAGAGAGGCTCAACATCCTTCAACACTGGGGAAATGCAAATCCAAACCACAAGGAGATGCCACGTCACATCTACCAGAACGGCTATCCTCAGTGTGGGCAAGGATGTGGAAAAATGGGAAGCCCCATGCATTGTTGGTGGGAATGTACAATGGTGTAGCCGCTGCGGGAAAGAGTTGGGTAGTTCCCCCGCAAAAGCTCAACACAGTATTACCATGTGACCCGCAGTTGTATTCCTAGGTATATATCCAAAGGAATTGAAAGGGACTCTAATAGTTACTTGGACAATGAATTTCACTGCTGTCGTATTCACAATAGCCAAAAGGCAGAAATGACCCAAGTGCCATCAACAGAGGAACAGGGGAAGGGATAAACAAGAGGTAGGAGACATACAAAGGAATAGGATTCAGCCATAGAAAAGTTGCCATAACATGCATGAACCCTGAAAACGTGATGCTAAGTAAAAGAAGCCAGACAAGAGAACAAATATTATGACTGCACTTATATGAGGTACCTAGGGCAGGCAAATTAACGAAGTAGATTAGAGGTTATTTAGAGGTGGGGGCGGGGGGAAATGAGGAGCTACTACTTAATAGTTACAGAATTTCTGTTTGGGGTGATGAAAAAGTTTCACGAATAGCGACGGCTGCACAGCATTGTGAATGTAATTAATGTCCCTGAACTGCATGCTTTAAAATGGTTAAAGTGACTAATTTTGTTACATATTTTACCATAATTTAAAAATGGATCAAAAAGCACTGAAATGTGTGCTTTAAATGGGTGAATTACATGGTTACGTGAGTCACAGTTCAATAGAGCTGTTTTAAGAACCTATTTAATAGATCCTGATAAATGTATTAATGTAATCCTGAAGCTAATGTTACTTAAGAACATCAAAACACCACACCTATCAAGTACTGAGCATCTATATATATTTTAGCCTTTGAGACCCCATCAGCTATGTATATTTCCATCTTTTCTGGTGAGTTCCATCCTAAGAAAGATGGTGGTCATGCTATATAACCTTCTCCACTTCCTTCTGACAAGACTCTCCCAGGATCCAGAGCTTCCATTTTTTCTATCAGCATACTTGTTATCTATTGGTTGGGATAAAACAATTTTTGAAAACTCAGCTGAGGGCCTATGACTTCTAACAAAACGCACCATGAATTTTAGATGGCCAACTTGAAGACTCTTCAAACCAGCCTTACTGCAAACTGGGGATTACCCCCATAAGCTTACATCTAACCCTGCCAGAAGGAGGGAAGAAAGAGCCATGAAGACAACTGGATTATTCCTACTTGCACAGTTAACAAAGATAATGTTTGAATTTTTTACTTCTGTGACCAGAACTGAAACTTTTGTCAGCCAATAAGAAGGCCGGCATCATAATGAAAGCACCATACAAGGACCATGATTATAGTGTGGCATCTTTCTCAATGTACTATTCATTTATTAATTCCACAGCAGTAACAGAATATTTAAAACCAGGACTAATAGATTGTTGGGGTTGGAGCAGCTTCTCATTCCAGAAAGAAACCCCATCTTTCTGGTTTGTGAAGGAAGTTCCCTTTGATTTTTATGCTTACCCGACTTGAGGAAAAAAGGGCCCTTTTTACTTAAACCCTAAAGAATATCAAAACTAGACCCGACCGAGTTCAGCGAAGAGCACTTGCAGTGTGTTAGATTTTTAAGCATAAATTATACGATTTGAATAAACACAAACTACAAAGAAATCATTATAGCCAACCTAGCAGGCACAGAATCCCACAGCCTCTAGGAACAATTCTGCAATTCACGTCCATGTGGAAATGGTAATTTCTCTTCCTGAAGAGAACTACAGAAATGGCATTCATTATAATTACGACCTTGGAAATGCAGAAATGTGGAAGTGTGAAATTCATAATAATATAAACATGTTTGTTATAAAAACATCACTGCAGAGTTGGCCTAGAATTTTTTAGTTGTAGCTCATCTTACAAGGGCTTTGTATGAAATGACAGCTGTGTTTGCTTTGTGAATAAGTGTCTTTTTTTTCTTTCTCGGTGGCTAAGTTGCCTCTGTGAGTTATGTGCATGTTGGGGGAGATTAATAGTAAAAAAAAAAAAAATGTTCACAGTTTCAGACCTTTGCCGTGCACGCACGCACGATGGAAGGAAAATGCTCACAGCGATGGGGAATCTGGGAAATTCCTGGATGAAGGAGAGCGGGAAAGAGATTAGGAAGATGTGGCAAAGAGGAAAAAAAAGTCTTGTGCTGTAGAAAGATCAGACCCAGGTGTGCTATGTGTGGGGCGTCATTTCCTATTTGTCGGTTCTCACGGAACTCTGAGAAAAATGAAGAGTCTGTTCTAGGGGCGTGAGGCAAACGTGTGTTTAGTTGTCAGCCCGATGCTTCGTGCCCCTCTTCTTCAGGAAGATCTTGTGGTTAAAGACGAGTGCGTTGCTATTGGAAACCAAGTTGGCCACACAAAGTTCCTTCTATAGTTTCCTCAGGAACAGTGAGGGACACAGTCTCTGACATCTGTAACTTAGTGGCAGGCGAATGGCCAATAAAAAGGCGTAAAAATGAAAACACTGTTTAGGCGAGGGAAGGATTTGTTTTTGAAGGAACAGCAAAGCACAAAGGAGAATGTCCTTGGATAGGGGACAGGAGCATACCTGCTACCAAACGAGAGAGGGTACTGTTTCTAACCCGATAACATCCCCAAATGTTTGTTTCAATCCACCAAACTTTAGAATCCTAGATGTGTTTGAGAAGGGAAACTGAGTTCACTAAAGACACAACCCTTCCCATTCTGTGAGCCCGCACTGTACCAGATGCATGTGGGATGAAAAGATGAGAAAAAACTCCCTCCTTGAGGTGTTTGTATCTTCACAGAAAACTATGAAGCCAAATTGAGTATTCATTTTTTGAAGTAATCACCTTTCTGAGGGAGCTTTTAGAAGTACAGAAACCTCGTTGAACTGATATCGTTACAGATCTTATGTTGATAATTTAAAAAGCAGTCTGTTATACACACCTCTTGTTGCATACCTACATCTTTAGAACAGGTACTTTGGGTTTGGGCTCTTTTCTGTGCCAGGTCCCATGCTAAGGGACTTAAATAGGATTCTATTCAATTCTTTTCTACTTAAGAAGAAACTGAATAGTTGAATAGACTTGTCTAAGCCAACAATGCCAGTAAGTGGCAGAGCTGGAACTTGGTGACATTCAAAGCTGTCCTCTTAACTACTATTCATCTGAATCGGAGTTTGGCACACAAAGAGTAGGGTTGGTTCTGGGGCAATATGGTGACATCGGAAGACCCTAAACTCACCTCCTCCAGGACACACCCTATCTACACCTACTGTTAGAGCAAATCCTCTTGAAGAACTAAGGGCTGACTGAACAGCTTCTGTACAACAGAGGGAGAGGCCCCACAAAGAATGGCAAGAGAGATGAAGACACGGGAATGAGGGGAACCCCACCCTTAATACTACCAGAGACAGGAGTACTGAGGGACTGTGAGCAGATCTGTCTATGGGCACAGGAAAAATGCTGAGGGTTACAAGGGCAACTAGAATGTAGAGGGACTCTCTCCTGGTTGGAGGGGCTGGTGAATGCCGCAGTTGATGTACCCCTTCACCTTGATGGGAGTAGAAGGTGGGCACCCTAGCTGGCCTGCTGCCTCAGGGAGCCCTGGGCCCCTAGGCCCACACCATCACCCGCCCTCCCACCAAGGTGGCCCCAGCACCATGCACAGGGACCGCCCCCCCCCCCCCCCCCCGCTGGCCCCTATCAATGCTCACTACAGCTTTAGCCATTACACCAAGAGGCCATGGGTGCAAAGCCCACTGGAACACTTTAGGCTCCCACCACTTTGGCTATAGCAGCCCTGCCAGGGCACCCCTTGGATGCCCTGAGACCTGTACCCTGTCTCACACCCAGCTACCCTGCCATAGTGCCCCCGTGCTGACTACCCTGGGACACCTGGCTTGTACCTACTTGAACTTCAACTATCCTCCCAGAGCATCCTCTGAATGCAGAGCCCTCGGACCAGCCCCTGTGCTTAGAACCCCAGGACCCCAAGACCTACTTCATCTTCAGTTGTCCTGCCTGGGATATGCTGGCTTGTGTCTACTCCAGATTTAACTGTCCTGCCAACGCACCCTCTGCATGGAAAGCCCTGGGCTCCCACTGCTTGCACTCGCTTCAGATCTCACTATTCTGCCAAGGTGCTGCCTGTAAGAGCCCCAGGACTGCCCCAGTCCATGCCCACTTCAGCTCCAGCCATCCCAGCAGGGCAGCCCCAGCATGGAGTGCTCTGGGATTCCCCAGCCCATGCCAGC